GAGGTCTCACCAAGTTGCCCAGGCAGGTCTCGAACCCGCAGGCTCAGGCAATCCTCTCGCCTCGGCCTCCCAAAGTGCTGGGATTACAGGCTGAGCCACCGAGCCCTGCCAGAAATGTGTCCTTTAAACAATAAATTAGATAAGCGACCAGAATTCTTTTCTTTTAACCTGAAAATCGAAGGTCCCAGAGCTGAGGCATTTCCAGGAATTTCTGTATAAAGACAGCCCGATTCTTATGGATTAAACATAAGCAATAAACTACAAGGGTTATATGAAGGAAATAGTAGAAAGTTCTGAGAGATGAGACCCTAACAAAGGGAAAACGAACATCACAAGAAAAACACATCACTGTGTAAGAAAACCAGTAACCTCAGCAGTGCAACTTGGGAGAACAGTGATTTGAGGGTAAGACCTTAAAGGACACTGGCCTCCCAGACGGACCTGGGCCATTTGCAACAGGATGTGGCTGGGATATCTTCAGGGTTATTAAAAGCAACTGATAGGAGTATGTACCTTCAGAGCCTGGGAGATAGAGACCATGTCAGCTGTGAGTCTGGTTTGTCACCAGCCGGCCTCTGAGAAATAATAAACGAAGATAGAACGTTCAAAATGCCGAGTGTGCCCTTGATCTCCTGTCACTCTGCAGGGCTGCCACCCCTGGGCTTCAGGTTTTTCCTGATAGTGATCAGTGGCTACTTCCAGTGAACTAGAGACAGCCGACTGAGAAGGGAGGATCAAAAGGGACAAATGGAGGTGGCTTATGACACATCATGGGCCCCAGATAATGGACAGATCAAGGGAGCTATGGTATGGACATCTCTGAACTGGCAGCCTGGGAGGCAAAATAAATATGACAAGAGTGGCAAGCCTAGGCCAACAGTCAGATGGCTGCCTGAACTCCCGCTGGTTCCTCCACGCACCGCTGGCCCCTCAGATCACCTCAGAAGTTCCTGAACTCTGGCAAGTTGAGTGCTTTGAAAGCATGAAGCTTGGCTCTGGGAAAGTTTCCACTTCTAAGTCCCTCTCTCAGTGGCAGCAGAGTCCCACTGTGCTCCTCGTCCGCTCTCATATCCATCTCATGCTTTAGCACACTTGAGGTGAGGCAGTCAGATACTCCTCCTGCATGACCTCTCAGGGTCACGGAAGTGTCATTGAGAGCATCAGGAGGACAAAAATCAACTTTGGTGTGACATTAGAGCATGGGGGGACTTTGGAACTACTTGGTCACTTTGTTCTAACCCATGAGAACACTCAATGGACTTCAGTTAGACAATCATGCCATATTGCTTCAAACTTTTCCAAGATGAAAAAGACAAATGCTATATGGTAAACAGTCGGCCTGAGACTTGAACGGGTGTGGTGGCTCATGCCTGTAATCCCAGCGCTTTGGGAGGCCAAGGCAAGAGTATCCTTTAAGGCCAGAAGTTTGAGACTAACCTAGACAACATAGCAAGACTTAAACTCTACCAAAAAAGAAATTAAAAATTAGCTGGGCATTGTAGTCGTGCTACTTGAGAGGCTAAGACAGGAGGATCACTTGAGCCCAGGAGTTTGAGGCTACATGAGCTGTGATTGCGCCACTGCACTCCATCCTGGGTGACAGAGTTAGACCCTGTCTTGAAAAAAGAAAATTGCTCTCCAACTTTGTGCTAGGAGCCAAGAAACCAAGCAGAGAGACTTTTTTTTCTTTCTTTCTTGTTACAAGTTTTTCATTGTCCTTCAAATTACAGATGCTTTAGGTATTGAGGTTGCTGTTTCAGTTAAGGATTAAGAGTCGCTGTACAGACTTCTCAGGCTGCATTTGGGGCCTGGCTTTGGCTCTCAGAGCTGTCCCAGTTTCAGCTTGAATTGGGAGGCCTGTCTCGGGGGGCGGGGGGGGAGTCCCATGGGGTGAGGATGTAACTATGCAACCTGGTATTTGAGCAGCCTGCCAAGCTGAGCTCTCCTTCCTCGCTGGGAGTGTCACAAGAACTCCAAGAGCCCAGGGCACCGCTTGGCTTTGTGTTCCTGGGGAACAAAGTGGCCCTGCTGGCACTGAGCAGTGCATTCACAGATTCAGGCCTGACCTGGAGGGAAGAGTGGAATCCAGGCCAGAGGTCCCCAGCCAGCAGATGGACTTGCGGGGAGCCCTTGCCAGGGTAGGCCCCCCACTCCAGTTCGTTCTTTTTTTTTTT